AATGGATTGACAGCGGCAGAGATCGGGGGAGGCAGATGCCCCCCCCCCGGTGGTAACAGGCGCCGGGAGCCACAGACACACGCTGTGATATGTGTCCACTAGGCCAACGCGAGTGCACACACCACAGCGACGCACACACAGCCACAACCTGGAATGCTACGGGGGCACACAACACGGCAACGAGTGTGCACAGAATCACAACCACACACACCACAGCAACACACAGCCACCACACAACACGGCAGTGAGTGCACACACAGAATCACAGCCGTGCACTGGAAAGCAACGCACACACACGAGAGCAACGCACACACAGCCACAACCACGCGCTGGAAAGCAATGCGCACACACGGCAATGCACATGCACACAATCACAACCACACGCACTAGAGCCCCCCCCCGGGGGGCAGAGGCCAGCCCCAGCAGTGCGCTCCAGCCACGCCCCCTATGTGGGAGGGGGGAGAGAGTCTGGGAGCAAGGGGATGCAGCGGAGACTCCATGCATGGGGGATTCTCGGGGGGGAGGGAGCCGTCCCGCCCCCTCTCAGACCCTGCACGCTGCTGGACGGTCTCGGTGCCCGTACGCGCTTTGAGATCCCAGAAGCGCCGGGGGACCCGCCGGCACACACAGAGCAGCGGCTGCGGCCGGACATGACCCCTCCCGGGTACAGAGCGGGGCCCCCCACCCCGACTTAGCCAGCAGCAGCGCTCGGCGGCCCCTTCCCACAAGGGGATCCGTCTGCACCCGGCAGGGACCAAGCAGAGCTCCCGGCTCGGTGCACAAGAGACCCCCGAGATCTCCGAGCCTGATCCAACACGCTACTGGTCTGAGCAGCCTGGGGCGCTCAGGACCCCGCGCCCCAAGCCGGGTTCGCCTCCGCACATGGCACCCCGGCCACACCCCGCTCACCTCCTCCACCGAGCAGGTCCCCTTGCTGGTGGACATGAGCACCTGCTGCTCCACGCTGCTGATGGCGAAGGTCAGCACGGCCCGAGCCTCCTGCCAGGGAAGGGGGACAGTGAACTGCCTGGCCACGCCGCTGCGGGGGGATAGACCATGCTGGGGCCTTCCCCGCTCACCCCGGGACCCTCGCAGGCCAGGATCCCACCTCTATGGTCCCAGCCCGCCAGAGCTTGGCTAACTCCCCTCGTGTCAGACA